CTTTGTCTCCTGTGGCCTAGGTTTGAAAATTTCTGTTTTCCTGAGTATTTCCACACTGATCCCACTGTTTGTTAACTGCTGGAACATTAAAGGCTTTCACAGAGATATTCTTAATCCAAAGCAGGAAAAAGTAAAGTTGTACTTCATAAAAGGGTTGCCCCTGAAGAACCTTTAATTGCTTTTAAATCAACTGGTGAAGTTCCTGGCACCATCAAATTCAGGGCTCTTGGTCAACATATGTATTGGTATTATAACCAGACTTTTTAAAATTAATGCAAGATGTCTTTCACAACTACACAATTACAGTGCACAAAAAAGAAAAAGAGAGACAACATATTTCTGAAGTTGTGCATGGAATTATATTAGTAGGTTTGTATCTTCCACTGCATTTCTCCACTCAGCATAAGCTTCAAGAAGTTTTTCCCAGGTATTTCTCTAGGGAACTTAAATGGTGACTAAAAAGAAGTGGCAGAATTAAAACAAAACCTGTGGTGTGTGTCTACAGGCTGTGAAAGGCATCTCTTAAAATCCACAAGTACTAAAAAGTACTAAATATTCATTCAGTTCACACCTAGTCCCTCACAAGAAATAGAAATAACACACACAGATTTGATTTTTTAATCAGTCTCACTTTACATTTCTAGGGGTCAATTCAAGCTATTTTACATGTGAAGTATTAAAAGTATCAAATGAAGTCAGAGGGATTTTCAGGGATATATATGGCTGCAGGAGCTGAGGTTTCTTGTACTACACAGTGGTGGAGTTTGCAAAAGGAAAGAACCCACAGCTCCTTCCTCTCATGCTGTGGGAGGCTGATCTTGCTGTCTGCCTTTCCAAGGAGCAGGATGCAGGAAAGGCTCTCAGAAAGCATTAAATGCAATTATTCATTTTGTGAATGGAGAGCAGCTGAAGAATTCCCAGCCACGAACGGCAGAGCAGCTGATTCCTGGCCCCTGCAGCAGCCAGGAACAAATCCCCTCCCAAGCAGTCACAGTCTTGACATAACTGAATTCCTCCAGTTGTCCTGCTCTGCAAAGAGTCCTCCCTCTTCTTTCATCATGATTCATTTTTCACTTTTAAAAGCTTTCTGTTAAGGTTTGCTGTCTGCTGTTTATAAGGCTCTGTTAAAGCTTCTCTCCTCTTGGAGACTGATGTGCAATGTTTTGGGCACAATGTGTGTTTTACAAACCAAACAGGATGCAAAGTCCCACTCAATATGCCAAATACAGCTTTGAAAAATAGAATAAGGTCACTTTTTAGCCTAGAAAAATTCTTCTGTACAGTCTGTTTTCTGCTGGCCAGGCCATTTCAGCATTTATCAATACGACTGCAGGTTTTCATTCCACTCCCTGCCCTGCTGCTCCAAACACAAACTACTGGCAAAATACTTAAGGACAAAAGCATTGCCCTTCATGTCTAAACCAAGTGACAAGAGAAGCCAAATTTCAGCTCAGAAGAAAGGAATGAATGAGCCCAAAACTGGGAGAGTCACACTGATCCCTCAGCCTCTGTGACCCAGAAGCAGCAGGAGCCTCCCTTCCCTCCCTGCTCTGGGCTCTTCACAACTCTTGGGACAGCTCTGGTGGATTATGGCTACGAAGAAAATATTTCTTCCTGCTGGAGAAGCATTTATTTTCATAATAAATGCAACTCTTGTCTCATTCATGCTGCTGAGGTGTACCCTGGCAGATGCAATAATAGAGCTCTCAGGGGCAAGAAATGCCCAGAACAGCCTCCAGTCAACCAAATTAATGCTCAGCACCAAATTCATGCTCCCCCCACGTGTCAGCAGCAGCCCTTGTCCATTTGCACTGAGTCAATGGGAAATGCCAACAGGCAGAGCAGAACTCCCTGAGAGGAGCACATGAGCACCAGATTCTGTAAAAACAATTGTCACAGACACGTTTTATGAAAAACTCATTTCCTTTTTTTTTCTCCTGAGAAGCTGAGAGGCCTCAGGAACAAAATGTAAGCAATGATTATCTGCTGCTGTGGAATGCAACAGGTGCATCTGTGATTGGTCTCATGTGGTTGTTTGTAATTAATGGCCAATCACAGTCAGCTGTGTCAGACTCTCTGGTCAGTCACAAGATTTTATTATCATTCCATACCTTTATTATTCCTTGCTAGCCTTCTGATGGAATCCTTTCTTCTACTGTTGTAGTGTAGTTTTAATACAATATATATAATAAAATAATAAATCAGCCTTCTGAAACATGGAGTCAACATTCTCATCTCTTCCCTCATCTGAGACCCCTGTGAGCACCACCACAATCAGTCACTGTTTGGAATTAGAGGAAGAAATTTTTGGTGAGGAAGAAAATGTAAAATTTTTGATGAGGAAGACAGTTTTAAAAAAAGCCAGTGAAGTATAGCTGGAAGCTCAAGGAACACACAACTGTAAAGAAAGGAAGTTTGCAGCTTGCAAAGCTGCCAGTTTAATGCAACAGCAGCACAAAGAGATGAAAGTGCCACTGAAAAGTTTCTGTGAGACACAGGCTCTGCCAGAACAACACAAAAAATGCAGTTAGGAGCAAAGTGTGACTGAGCCATGGTGACAGGAACACTCAGAGCTCAATGCACACAACTGCTGATGATCCCACCCGTCAGCACTGCCCAGGGCTCCTTTAACAGCAATCACACACACAAAGCAAAGCCACAGCTCCTCCCTGCTCCTCCTGTCTCTGCCTTCATCAGCTGTCAGGTTTTGGGAATAAATCTTTTGATTGTGCTGTTTTCTGCTCAACTCACCCCTTCCAGCAAACACCCTGATTAAAGGTCTCCTTTCTGAATAAACATTTCATTTATTATGTGCAACAAGAGGGATTGCTGTAATGTGCTTGGCAGATGGTGGTTAAAGCATCAGCCTAGAAACCATAATTGAGTCTGAAGCAATGTAATTTTGACAGAGACAGCTCAGAAATCAGGCCCCTGGCTCAGGATGCCTTCTCAGTTTCCTTATTGTTGCAATCAGTAATACTTAGACATGAATTACATTCAGTTATTTCTCCCAAGAGTGTATTTTTAAAGTGACCTTGGTAGGGAAGGGGAAGTAATGAAGACAAATGCTCCCAAAAATAGCATAAAATCATTCATTAAGGCCATAAAGTACTACAGTCCATGCTAAAGCACTGCCATTAATAGGAACAGAAGCATTTAATAATATATTTTGTATTAGCTTCACATCCAGTCACTGAAACATCCCCTGTACTGGCATGAAACCCCAATGGAATAGTGACATTCCCTAGCAGCTGTCTCATCTCACAGCATAAAGTTATAAAATTATTGAAAAATTGAATGCTTCTGTTCATGTGAAACAGAAATTATACATTTTCTTTATGCAAAGTTCAATAATGATCAAGGGTTCATCTAATTTTTGCAATATTGGGATCACAAGTAAAAACATTTTAAAGAAGTTCATCTACAAAGACAATGACATCTAAAAACAGCTGTTAAATAAAAATAAGCTTTAAGTGATTAATATTTTAATATTTTATTAATTCATTACTATTTTAATAAAACTAATAAACTCATTTGGCTACTCAACATTCCTTCCACCACTAGAGGGAGATCAGATTCCTTCACACAGGCAAAAAAAAAAAAAGACAAAAAAAAAAAAGAGTTCAAATATTCAAATCAGGGACATTTTAAATTATGAGACCAACTGAAATGCACAACCAAAGAATTATTGTGTCTAGTCTTGTTCCCAAACTCTGGCCACACACCTCCCCAGCCACATGGAACTCGTTAGCTTTGTTGTGTTTGTTAAGAGCATGAGCAGGGCTGCAGCAAAGCTGGGAGCATCAGGTGCCAGAGCTGCTCCATTACAGAGTTATTTCATCCTCTGGCTGCTTCTCCAGCCAGAACATGAATCATCTCAAGTCCTTCCACTTCCTGCTTTATCATTTTTAATGTTTTGCTACACTCTGCCTCAAAAAAAACCCCCCAAGTCCTGATGTAATACTAGCCCAGAATTGTGTCTTTCATCTCACACAACCCCTTGGATAAAGTGTGAAAGAGGAGGAAATGAGGATTTTCCATCCCAAATCCCCACAGAACTCAGAGGAGCAGCTCTTCTTGCTGGGAGGGAGGGAAATGTGTGGTGCTGCCATCACCCTAAATACATTCACACCCTAAAACTGTCCTGATGTGGCTGATGTTGTTTATCAGTCACCAAAAAATCCTTTTACTTCTCTTCCTTGAGTCATTTAGTTCTCTAAATTACTAAGATGTTACTATTTTGAGCTGCAAAATCCAGTGTATGAATGCAAAGGGCAATTCCCTCCCAGCCTGCACTCCACAAAAAACTCAAAACATAAAAAGTTCTGGTTTGTGGCTCATTCAGCAGTTATTGGAAATCTTTACCTGTATAAGGCAAAATCCTCCTCTGTGAAGATGTCTTGAATTTTGTCCCCAAAGTACCTGAAAAGTTAAACAACAGGCTAAAAGAGGAGTTGTTGAATCATACTGAGCAATAACAAGAAAACTCCTTACCCCAAATCAAAAAGTGAGGACAAAATTAAAAAAAAAAAAATCTTACAAATGCTTTTGAGCATGATGTCCAAAAAAGATCAAATGTTAAAAGATTAAAGGATTGAAATGCTGCAAGTGGTAATGGCATTCCTCAGGCATTAAAAAAATCCCCTCCCACATCATGAAATAAGCACATGGACTCAAGTTTTTAATGGTTCAGGCTATTTGATTTCTTCCACTGCTGAATAAACTAAACTACAACTGTGAAAAAATACTATGATTAACCAGTGCAAGAACATAAAAATAAAGATAATGGCAGCTTTCAAAGTGCCCAGTTCAATAAAAGATCAGTTTCCATGCCAGGAAAGCTCTTTACAGGCCATGGAAAGTGTGGTGGCTGCAGCCAAATTCCATAATTTGTCCTCACTAATCCCAGCCCAGGGCTGGAGACACTGCAAGAGGCAGTGGCAGGGAAGGGGTGGGATGACAGCAGGCAGGAAGCCACAGCCTCATTTTACCTGTACAGATTAACAAAATGCTTCCCCAGGGAAAGAGCTCCAGAGTGCAAGTCCAGAATTGATGCCTGGAAAAGGAAACAAAGAAGGAAAAATGAGCATGAAAAGGTTTTAGCATTATTTAACTGTGACCTTTAATAACTGTCCCAAGTTGCCTCTCACTTTCCACAGCCTCCCAAGTAAAAGCAGCTTCCAGCTTTGGGTTCACAATACAACATTTATTTTACAACTAGAAACCTCCCTCAGATCCCTGCAGAGATTATTAAGGTATTATTTAAAAAAAAGCATAGGACTGCAAATTCTGAGACTCAGATCTGACAGGGAATTGCCAGCTTCCCCCCATGGGCTCAGGGTAAATCACTCTGCTCCAGGATCCCTTCTTGAAGACATTTCCACACACATTTTCCAGTATTTGTGTGCTCAAGTAGCAGCACTAATATTTATCTTGCCCTGCATTTGTTATTAAAACTTCTCTTTCACCACAAGATCCTGTATACTTCTCATATTTAATACAGACATTAAAAAGTCTCTTTAAAAGTACAATTAGAATTCCAAGGTTTGCTAGGACCAAACTTTCTTTTCCTCAATTTCTAAGCCACTATAAAAGAAAACCACAGAGTGAAAATGAAAATTCAATCCATTTCTTCATCCAATTCAAGCCAAACTCCTGCTGAGCTCCCAACAAGCTGCAAAGATTAATGTCACAGACATATTTCATGAAAAATCCTTTCCTTAGGATTTTTCCTCCTGAGAAGCTGGGAGGCCTCAGGAACAAAATGTAAACATTGATTATCTGCTGCTGTGGAATGCAACAGGTGCATCTGGGATTGGTCTCATGTGGTTGTTTCTAATTAATGGCCAATCACAGTCAGCTGTGTCAGACTCTCTGTCTGAGCCACAAGCCTTTGTTATCATTCCTTCTTTTTCTATTCTTAGCCAGCCTTCTGATGAAATCCTTTCTTCTATTCTTTTAGTATAGTTTTAATATAATATATATCATAAAATAATAAATCAGCCTTCTGAAACATGGAGTCAGATTCTTGACTCTTCCCTCTTCCTGGGAACCCTGTGAACACCACCACGGATTAATATTCAGATTTGCCAGAAGAGAGGATTCTAAAATGTTTCTCTAAATTTAATAAAGTACACTTCTGTATGTTCCTTTCAGTCCACAAAACACATGCTTGTTCTGCATCAGTTCTAAAATATTTAAAAATAGAACTAATAGAAGCCTTTTTGTTATTTATACTGGAAATATCAAAGAGCACCAGTTAATTAACCTGACTGGCACTGAAGTAATGACATCCCTGATGTCAATATCTGGGCACTCATCTTGGAATTTGCCATTGCTTGGGTGCACCACAAACCATTCACATCACTCTGACAAAATCCCAGCAGGAACAGCACTGGTGACAGGGGGACACTCTCAGCACAGTCCCTTAGAAAATCTCTGCAGCCTCAACTGCTCTGTGCAGGGGAACCCTACTAACTCTTATTAGAAAAGATAAAAAGAACTTTTTTTTAAACAAACTTACACAAATAACCTTATTTACCCCTTGAAAAATACATAAAGTAGCAAGTTACTGGAGTGGACACAGCATGAGCTTTTCAGATCTGCCCTTCTCACTCTCAGGCAAGAGCAGCTCTTGTATCAAACTTTACTCAAGCTTCAGAAACAAAATACTTTCATCTGTTTGTTTCTGGTTCTGTACAAAAATCCAAACCACAGCTAAAAGCAGTAAAACTGCTCCTGTGTAGCTTCAGAGATATGTTTGTGACCATATTAAAGTAGATTATAGGAAGTAGCACAACACAGCTGAGAAGTTTAATTTAATTTAAAAACAAATTGCCTTTCTAACTCTTTCCACATGCTTTTCTTACACATTTCTTCTCACTCCCCAAGCTCCAGTTGGAAGAAGTGGACTGGACTGAAGTGTTCACACCAGCAGGGGTGATGTGCAGAAATATCAGGGAGGGAATAATTACAAAATCACAGAAGATTGAAAAGGTTAATATCATTATCTATACAAAGAAGCAAAAAGCTGAGGCAAACATCAAGAAAACGAATTCAATTCCCATTCTGTGAATAAGGAACAGAGTATAAAACTTCTTTAGTATAAAACTTCTTTACAGAGACAGATGCAGAAGGGAAAGCAGCTTGCTGCTGGAGAAAATGTTCCTGTTTGGATTCTGCAGAAGTTACACCAGGTGACCATGGCCCCTCTAGCTCCACTCTGTGTGCCTCTGCATAAATAAATATAAACCCAGGAAAAGAAAAGTTACAAAGGAAGATAAGAAACTGGGGCTGACCCCAGGGAGGCTTCAATAATTCAGATGTTTGTCAAAACTTTCTCAACATCAAAAGATGGAATAGGAAACAAGTGTTGGTGCTGGGCTCCAGCACTCCAGGGAAGGGCAGCAAACAAAGGGAGGAGAGATTAAACAAAGTCACAAACTGCAAGTTTACACCTTTAAATGAATAAATTATATCTAAACACACAGACACAAACCCACTTCTGAGAATTCAAAATGTAACAACTGTGATAGGCAAAAAAAACCAAAAAAAACCCAAGAGGTGCTGCTTACAAAGGGCTCAAGAGGAAACACCAGGCAATGAAAATGCAATCAGAATCCCAAACAGAAACCTGCCCACGTTTTATTTTGACTAGCAAAGAGAATGAAGTGGCTAAAGTAAGAATTAAAAATCATGAAACAGCAGCAGTAATTTTGAGATATTTTAAAGGAAGAATTAGTCTTACAGCAGACACAACTGGACAGAATCATCCAAACACTCAAGAAATTTAAAGCAACAAGCCAGACCTACTGCAGGTGGCTGGAAGTTTGGGGAAAGGAAGAGGAAAAAGGCAGGACAGGAATAAAAGAAATTGGGCAAGGAGAGTATTTAAAATAATATTAAAATATTATTTAAAATATATTCAAAATACTATTTAAAATATATTAAACACATTAGAAAGTGGGTAAGGAGAATGTATTTTAAATCCTATTAAAAATATTATTTGAAATATAGTAAAAATATTAGAAACTGGGTAAGGAAACTGTATTTAAATCATATTAAAATATTATTTAAAATATATTCAAAATACTATTTAAAATATATTAAAAATATTAGAAATGGGGTAAGGAGAATGTATTTTAAATCCTATTAAAAATATTATTTGAAATATGGTAAAAATATTAGAAACTGGGTAAGGAGCGTGTATTTAAAATAATATTAAAATATTATTTAAAATATATTCAAAATACTATTTAAAATATGTTTAAAATATTAGAAATGGGGTAAGGAGAATGTATTTTAAATTCTATTAAAAATATTATTTCAAATATGGTAAAAATATTAGAAACTGGGTAAGGAGAATGTATTTTAAATCATATTAAAATATTATTTAAATATATATAAAATACTATTTAAAATATATTAAAAATATTAGAAACGGGGTAAGGAGAATGTATTTTAAATCCTATTAAAAATATTGCTTGAAATATGGTAAAAATATTAGAAACTGGGTAAGGAAAGTGTATTTAAAATCATATTAAAATATTATTTCAAATATATTCAAATAATATATTTTAAATAATATATTAAAAATATATTATATTAATAATATAATATATTTTAATAATATAATATATTATTATAAAATAATAATAAAATTATTATAAAATAATAAAAATTATTATAAAATATTATATTATATATTATTAGTATATTCTATATATTAGTATATATAATAATATATATTATATTATATTATTATAAAATAATATATTATCAAATAATACATTTTAAATAATATATTAAAAATATTAGAAACGGGGTAAGGAGAATGTATTTTAAATCCTATTAAAAATATTATTTGAAATATGGTAAAAATATTAGAAACTGGGTAGGGAGAGTATATTTAAAATAGTATTTTAAATATTATTTTAAATATATTCAGAATATTAGAAACTGGGTAAGGAGAATGTATTTAAAACATCCTTTCCCTGAGGATTAAGAATTTCCTCACATTTCCAGATGATGAGACATGTGAGGCTTGGCTCAGAGCCCACACCTCTCCAGACATCAGATTTTTAACAGATTTATTTTATTGCAGTGAGAGAAGCAGCTTCCCCTCCCTCTCATTTACCTCCCCTTAAAAAAAAAAAATAAAGGACAAAATGAACTTTCCAAAGTAACCAAGATACTTCTTGGTTTATATTTTTTTACACATTCACAAGGACAATAAATTATTATTTTTTTCCACTGAAACCCTTCTTTTTTTGCTAATAAAAGTCCTCATTCAGCAGAGGCCCACAGGAGTGGCTCTGTTTACAAATACTCATTAAACAGCCCCGTTCACACACAGAAACATTTTGAGAACAAAGATGGGGGAAAGAAATTAAAATGAATGTGCTCATTAAAGAGAAGTGGGATTCTTTCAAAATATTTTCTTTTCAAGAATATTATTCCAAGGGCTATTTAAGACATTACATGGTTTTTTTGTCTCTATAAAACCAATCTTTACATGATGCTGTGAACCACTGGAATTTACTTTCAGAAGAGAAACTTTTACAGTTCTACTACAGCAACTCTTTTCAGATGAAGACAAAACCAGTTCAAGAGAGGTGCCAGAAATAATTAAATACAAGGAAATGTATTCTGTATTACAAAGTCAAGAGTTACAGAAGTAATAATGAGAAGTAATAATGAGAATTAGCAGAAGTAATAATGAGAAATAACTTTACAAATCAATTATTTTCCAAGTCTGAACAGATGGAAAGAATCTCCATCTCCTCACCTCAGCCCCCAAAAAATGCACTTATAATCTTGCCTTGGCAATAAAAGAATGTAGAAAACAACAGGACACTGCTCACCCCTCCATCAGATCCTCCCAAGGACAGTCCCCTCTCTGCTATTCTGCAGGCAAAACAATAATCTCAGATGAGAACTGGAGTTTTATTAATTTGTCCTTTAATTTCCTTATTTACACCATGTAACTCCCCAGAGAGTGGGATTTGATGCTTCAGGTAGAACCCAACTGAGTTAACAGCAGCTCCAATTTTTTTGGAAACTGAACTTTCCAGGCTGTCATGAAAATGAAGGATTTGAGTTGCAGAATATTTCTGAGCTTGCAGCTCCCTTCCACAAATCCCCAAAATACCCCAAAACCAGACCCTTCCCAGAGGACTGCTGGGGATTACCCAGACAGACACAGCTGCAATAAGGCTCACACTGTTTTGTTCTGCATTTAAAACAAGAGAAAATCCTTTAAAACTTATTTAATTCATTTTCCTTTCTCTCTGTGAAGCGCTCGTGGCCCCTCAGAGCCAGGAAGATTCTGTGTGAAAGAACTGCCCCCACTACAGTAAAAATGTAAAATTGCTTTAATAACAAAAATTTCAGTTTTTAATCAGTCTAACCCATCCTGCTCCACCCATCCTACCCCTCAGATTGGCATTAAAATCAGTGCTTTTAAAAGCTGGAGCTAAAAGAAGAATTACCTACGAATTCTTTCAGCTTCTTCCCTTGTGATGACAGCATCTGTCACCCCTCTTCCACACTTCCTAGGAGTGCAACCTGCAACACAAAGAGGAGGAAAAGAACCCACTGAAACCACTTCAGCCACCTGAAGGGCAGGTTTTTAAATGAGGCTTTGCAAAAAAGTCTGTGTTGAAGTCTCTCTTGAAGCACACAGCTTGGATATATAAGATTTTAAAAGCCTCCTAAAATTCACTGCTAAGAAATCTAACATTAAATTTTAAAAGCTCCAGGGAATACCAAGTCAGCAGCAGGGGTTCCAGGTGGAGAATATATGAAAGTTCTTCTAAGTCTGGTTGACAACAATCTTCAGGCAAAAAAAAAGAAGAAATAAAATCAGTTCTGAGCCACCAGAGACCTTGGGATGTTACATTTGGCACTTTTCTGAGGAAGATCCATTTAGAGATGTAAAGCCCCAGGAGAGAGGGGCTGAGTGTGGTTTCTCAGTGCTCCTGAACTGTCACTTCAAGGATTATTTATTCATCAGAACACAAAATTCCTGGAAAGAAATCCATCAATTCACCCATGGAGGACAAAAGCATCACTGTGCTCTGATCAAAGGCAGCTCATAACAATGACCAAGCAGATGGGAGAAGTTTTGCCAGGAATTCTGCAGGAATTTCCATTTTCTATTACTGGATATACCCCAGGTGGGCTGCAGGGAAAGCTGATTTTCAAGAGAGAAGAGTAAACTCAAAGGAGAAATTCAATACTCCAGGACAAACCTGGCTATTGAGAGCTTCCTTTCTACAACATTCTGCAAAGATTTCTGATTTCACACAAGATTTGTTCCTTTTTCAGCTGCAAATATCCATGCTTGGCAAAACTACAGGGTTACCTCAGGCAATTTTTACAGGTCTGGGGTCTCTCACAGAGAACTGGAAGCAGGAGGTGCTCACAAAGCACTAACTCAAGATGAGCTTAGTTTATTGAGTATTTCCAGAAAATATATTGCTTTTTTTTTTTTTTTGAGAAGTATGCCATAAGGTATACCATTTTGCTCTTAATTTTCATTAAAGTTTATATTCTGAAAGAATTAATGGTTGCAATTCCCCTCTTGCAAAACAGAGTTTCCAGCTCAGCCCGTAGGAGCAGAATTGTCTGTGCTTGCTGAGATATTAATTGCTCTTGCTTGTTTTTTAAACATTGCTATGGTGTCCAGAGAAATTGTAAAAAGTGGGTGCTATAGAGTAAATATTTTTACTTGTAAAATAGAGTAAATATTTTTACTTGTAAAAAAAGAGGAGGAAAAAATGGCATGGTTTGAAACCTTGATGTGATCTGGTCCCTTGTCTGATAAGGCACCATCAGCTCTGGCTACCAGGTAAATCAAAGTAAAGAAGAACATACCAAAATATGGAAAACACGAGGAAAACACGAGGAAAACACGAGGAAAACACGAGGAAAACACGAGGAAAACACGAGGAAAACACGAGGAAAACACGAGGAAAACNAAAACACGAGGAAAACACGAGGAAAACACGAGGAAAACACGAGGAAAACACGAGGAAAACACGAGGAAAACACGAGGAAAACACGAGGAAAACACTGCTCCCATTCAGCACAAAAACCAGAATTTTCTTTGGTATGAAGTTTATTTACAGGCAGGCGGTGCTAAGGGAATAAATCCTGCTCTGACAGCAGCGACCAAATCACTTGAAGCAAACTGGAAGCTCAGCTGCAGCAGGTTCAGCTGGAAGCAGGGACAGGTGCATAAATAAAAAGCTGATTTTAGCTGTGGAAACTTCACAGCTGAGCATCAGCCCCTGAGTGGTGACAGGAATGTGCCTCCCCCTGACACACAGCCCACAGCTGAGGGTGCCAAACCAGGCCAAACACTGAGAATGAAGAGCTATTGAGTGACACAAACCTATTTCCAAGTGCCTGAAGCTGCTGAGCTGATCCATAATCCACATCTTCTGCCTGGCTGGGCTGTGGGGAACACACAAAACTCCTCCACAGCTCATCACCACCCTCTCGTGGGAAAATTATCACAGCTCAGCTTTAATTAATCAATTAACAGCTGGATCCTTAAAAGCACAGTCACAACATAGATAAAATTAATTTTTAAAAAATAAATAATAAATTTATTTGTTTTAAATTTAAAATTAAATTTAAAAAACCCAAACCAAAAAAAACCCACAAAAACATAAATAAAAACCCAAATCAATCACAGAACTTAAGCAGCAGCACCAAGCAAACACCTAATTAGAAAGGTGAGTCAATTATCCCCATACAAAGCCAAAAGGTGAGACCTCACCCTGCACTCAGCACTTGCTATGCTCCCCAGACACCCCTAAAAATAAAGAATACATTCATTCCTGTTGCTGGAGAGATGTGCTTCAAATTCCTGCCTTCCTTACAGTGAAAAGAACAGGACAAAAAAGAAGGAATAAAAAGAAAACAATGACAAGCATAACTGGTGGCATGGCCAAGATCACAAGCTCAAAAAAATTGCTTTTGCAAAACTGGGAAGGGAAAAGTAAAGTTTTGTTGGTTTGGGGGGTTTCTTTTGGTAAGAAAATACTGCAGATGCAGAATCCAGAGACTTTTAGCCCCAGTTCAGTTATAACCAAATCACCAGCTGCAGTTTTCTCTGGCCTTGCACTACACAAATTCACCCAGCAGCAGTTTCCCCTTATGGTCACTATGAAAAGTTAACACAGAACACCTGTTCTCATGTTAAAAAAAAACCAAAAAAACCAAATCATTACCTTACCAAGACAATTTTTTGTTGGCAGCTTCCTGACATCAGTTTTCTTGGCCTAAATAACATTTGAGATGAATTGTCAAAAAAAAGATGCTACAGTAGCAGCACTGAGGAAAAACTATATAACCTCAAACTCCACATAAAATTTTCTTTTATGTTCTAAGTCTTTTTGACCAACAGCACCTGAAGAACATGGAGCTGCAATTTGTCAAACACTTTCTATCAGAACTAGCACAGGAGAAAGAAGGACCTCCAAACATCATCTGGTTCAGCTTTTTGTGGTGCTCTCAGAGAGCCTGGATAAGATTATCCAGCACAGTGTTCAATCACATCCTGGAAACCCTCAGCCAGAGGAGGTTGTTCCTGTGATTGAGTGATCTGTCTGTAATTTCTTTTTATATCAAGATGAAATCTTGCCCAATGCAAGCTGCACCCACTGTGCCTTGTCTGCTTTGTGCTGCTCCTGACAAAGGCAGAGCTTGTGTCCTCTGTAGCTTTCCTTTAAGCACTGGAATAATGAAATGTGCTCTCCCTGAGCCTTCTCCAGGGAAAGGGGACTCAGCTCCCTGAGGTTTTCCTGACAGGATGGGTTCTCCAGCCCTTTGATCACCTTTGTTCTTCCTCAGCTCACAGCAGCTTCTTCCAGCCTCCAGCTTTGTGTCAGCATTTTCTCAGCCACATCATGAAGCAGATAAATCACCAATTTGGCTAAAAACTAACTCAGAAAATTTTGGTTTGGTTTTGTTTTGGATTCAACAGCTTATCAGCCAACACACAGCCAGACATACTGACAAAAGCCAAGAGCAGAGCTGCTCTCTGGCAGCTGTACGAACTGAAAATGTTCATCACAACACACCGCAAATCTGAAAGAGAACATCAGCACTGCTCATCCGTGGAAGGTGCAAGTCAAACTCTCACTGCTCTTTGTGCAGATTAAAATCTTCCCTGTCTCTTGAAGAACCAACCTCAACACTTCAAAGAAATAAGTGCCAGGGGGAACAGACACCAATTTGAAAACAGGCTCAGCAGAAAGACACAAAGACAGAAAAGTGCTTTGCAGACACCCCCCAAAGCAGACACAGATCTCAGAATAAGTGACAAAAGCTGGCACTTGTCAGTCACCACACACTGGTGGCATAATGTCCTGCATCAGCGCCACTCCACGCTCTGTATGGAACAGAGTATGGAAACAAACCAAAAACAGACTTAGCAGGAAGTTTATTTCACAGAGCCCTTGCAAAGCAGTTTCAGAAGGGGGAAAAAACCTCTCAGGATCGACTGGAAGCTCAGTTACACCAAGTTCAGCTGGTCCGAGGGGCACGAACGTTTGGGGCTTTAGGTAAGGGACAGTGACCAGGAGTTTGCTGCAAACACGGGAGTTTTACAGCCAAAGTTTGGTGCCCGGGCAGCGGCCAAGCTGCAGCTGCCCCCCGAGCACGGCCAGCCCTGCCCGGTACCTGCAAAGCGCCGGTGGCTCTCGTAGTCCTCGGAGCAGGGCACCTCCACGAACTTGTCCTGCAGGGTGTCACTGCGATGGGCCAGCACCTCGGTGACCCCGTCTGCGGGGATTCCACCCTCGGGGATCCCATCCTGGGTGCGGACGCGGCTCCAGACCACGAGGCCGCCGCCGGCCGCGGCGCAGAGGAAGAGGAGGAGGATGGCTGCCTTCAGCCACCTTGCCCGGGGATCCTGCTGGGATCTGCCCTTCTTGGCGCTGCGAGGGAGCACAGAACGGGCACCGTGAGCGGGGAGGGCCGGACCGACCGATACCGGGGAGCACCGGGCCCGCGGACCCCGGTTCGGAGCAGAACACG